ATATATTATACTTTTGAAATTATGTGTTTAGAATTAACGCTTGTAAGGTTTTTAATGTTCTCATGAGTCATGAGCGCGCACACAAACAAAAAAATTCCATGTGGAAGTATACGAGAGGGTTACCAAGAGAATAGCTTTCAGTGAATCCCTTTGAAGAGGAAAGCATGTTTCATTTCCATTCTGAATTTCCAACAAAACGTCCATATCTTTAGCTTCACCCGAGCAGTATTCTCCTTTTCTGATATATTCTTCAATCACACTCTCCAAAAATGTGTCCATCTCATTTGCTGCTTTCTCCACTTTGGTGTCAAGGCCACTAATTTTATTGAACCATTCAAGCCACGGAATGTATTCCCCAACGTTGAATGTACCTAAAAGGTTCACAAATCCATCTAGGGTGTATTTACCATGTATTCCATATTTCCTCCCTAAGGCCACTCTGCTAATTATGTTATTAGTCAGAGAACAGAAAAAATCTCTCAAATCCATCACTGAACTCGAAGTTTCACACTCTCGTCTGATATTTTCAATCATGTTAGATATTTCTTCTTCTCTGACATCACGAAAAGATTGGACTCTTTTGTTGCTAAGAAGGTGAAACACAGTAACACTTCTAACTTGCCTCCAATATTCACCATAAGGACTGAAGGCTATATCTTTGGAGCCATAAAATAGTCTATCAGCAGTGCTGGATTTAGGTCTGCTTGACCAGACGAGATCGTGGGTTTTCATAATATCACGAGCAGCATCAACAGAGGAAGCAACGACCACTGGCTTACTGCCCAAGTGAAGTAGCATGACTGGACCATATTTTTCTGATAATTTATGTAGAGAACGATGAGGATGTGGCCCAAGTTGATGAAGATTTCCTATAACTGGAAGCTTTCTCGGAGATGGGGGTAACTTTTTTTGGGTATTTGAAGTAGTAAAGAACCATTGATGGAGGAAGAAAATGAAAACAAGCAGAGGAATTAGAAGCGAATACCAGGGGAAATTCATGGTTTGCTGTAGCGAGGAATACTGAGATATAATGAAATCAAGATTTGGGTACAATAATATGTTGGAGACAGATATATTAGAAATGGTGATTCTGATTGTGTACGTTATCATATAATATCATATTATCATATTGAGAAGTTTATTCACCACACTAGTTATAGGGGACAATGATAATCGCATTGACAATCATGCAGTAAGAGCAAATAGAAGTGTCTTCATTTGCTTCCGATATAACAAATATTTGTTAAGATTATGAGTTTTCTTGCAATATATATAGAAAAATCGAATCTTTTACGTGTAGCATTGGGTGATGAAAATGATGGGGTCCATCTCATTCAAAAGCCAAAGTAATAGGCATGTGCCTAAGGAAAATATTTGGCTGAGAATTT